CTGTTTTCGTGTTTACTTTACGTGTATCCACATCACGTTGGTTTTAGCTTTTTTTACGTCTATCCACATCACGTTGTTTTTATTGTTCTTTACGTATACCCACATCACGTTGTTTTTTGCTTTTCTTTACAGGGGTCCACATCACGCTGTTCTCAGCTTTTTTTACATGTATTCACATCACGTTGTTTTTTATTTTGTTTACGTCTATCGCCATCACGTTGTTTTTATCGTTCTATATGTGTATCCACATCATGTTATTCTTAGCTTTTCTTTATGCGTATCAACATCACGTTATTCTTAGCTTTTCTTTATGCGTATCAACATCACGTTGTTCTTAACTTTTCATTACATGTATTCACATCACGTTTATCATACGTTATCACGTTGTTCATAGCTTTACTTTACGCGTATCCACATCACGTTATTCTTAGCCACTTTTTGCGTGTATGCAAATCATGTTGTTATTGGCGTTTCACTATGCATATCCACATCACGTTGTTCTTAGCCACTTTTTACGTGTATCCACATCACGTTTTTAAGATTTTCACTACATGTATCCACATCACGTGTTTTTTATCGTTATTTACGTGTAGCCACATCACGTTGTTCATAGCATTTATACGTGTATCCATATCATGCGGTTTTTGTATCGTTCTTTACGTGTATGAACATCATATTCTTCATATCTTCTCATTAAGTGTATCCGCAATACCTTGTTTTACCTTTTCTTTACGTGTATCCACATCACCTTTCTTATCGTTTTTTACGTGTATCCACATCACGTTATTTTAACTTTTCTTTACGCGTATCCACATCACGTTGTTCTTTACTTTTCTTTACGCGTATCCACATCACGTTCTTCATCGCTATTCTTTACGTGTATCTACATCACGTTGTTTTTATCTTTTCTTTACGCGTAAGCACATCACATTGTTCTTACCTTTTCTTCCCGCATATCCACATCATGTTGTTCTCAGCTTTTCTTTACGCGTATCCACATCACGTTGTTCTTTACTTTTCTTTACGCGTATCCACATCACGTTCTTCTTCGCTATTCTTTAGGTGTATCCACACCACGTTCTTTTGTTTTTGGTTTTTACGTGTATCCACATCACGTTGTTTTTATCTTTTCTTTACGCGGAACCACTTCACGTTGTTCTTAGCTATTCTTTACGTGTATCGACATCACGTTGTTCTTCGCTGTTCTTTACGCGTATCCATTTCACGTTTTTCTTTACTTTTCCTTACGCGTATCCACATCACGTTGTTTTTAGCTTTTCTTTAAGTGTATCCACATTATGTTGTTTTCGTTTTTACGTGTATTGATATCACGTTGTTCTTATCTATTCTTTAAATGTATCCACATCACCTTTCTTATCGTTATTTACGTGTATCCACATCACGTTGTTTTTAGCTTTTCTTTAAGTGTATCCACATTATGTTGTTTTCGTTTTTACGTGTATTGATATCACGTTGTTCTTATCTATTCTTTAAATGTATCCACATCACCTTTCTTATCGTTCTTTGCGTGTATCCACATCACGTTGTTTTTAGCTTTTCTTTAAGTGTATCCACATTACGTTGTTTTCGTTTTTTACGTGTATTGATATCACGTTGTTCTTCGCTTTTCTTTACCCGTATCTACATCACGTTGTTCGTAGCTTTATTTTACGTGTATCCACATCAAGTTTTTTGTCGTTCTTTACGTTTATTCACATCACGTTGTTTTTAACTTTTCTTTACGCGTATCCACATCAAGTTGTTCTTAGCTATGCTTTACGTGTATCCACATCACATTGTTATTAGCTTTTCTTTACGCATATCCACATCAAGTTGTACTTATCTATCTTTACTTGTATCAAAATCATGTTGTTCTCAGCTTTTCTTTGCGCTTTTCCACATCACGTTGTTTTTTATCGTTGTTTACGTGAAGCCACATCACGTTGTTCTTAGCTTTTCATTTCGCGTATACACATCACGTTGTTCGTAGCTTTATTTTACTTGTATCCACATCATGTTGTTCTTAGCTTTCCGTTACGCGTATCCACATCACATTCGTCTTAACTTTTCTTTACGTGTATTCACATCACGTTGTTCTTAGTTTTTATTTACGTGTATCCACATCACGTTGTTTTTTATCGTTTTTACGTCTATCCACATCATGTTGCTCATAGCTATTCTTTACTTGTATCACATCACTTTTTTATCATTATTTACGTGTATCCACATGACGTTGTTTTTTATCGTTCTTTACATATATATATATATATCACGTTATTTTTAGCTTCTCTCTACCTGAACCGGAAACAAAAGCTAAGAATGTTGTAACAAAACAAGAAAAAAAAAAGTTCGTAATGGCTATTCCTTTCTTCATTCTTTACGTTGTCTAACATTAAACAATACAACCAAAATGCAGATTTTTTGGCGCTAATCGTCAGTTAATTTTCTTCTATCCGATTATTAGACCATCTTGTTTTTTCAACAATGGCACTTAATATATTATTCACGTAAATGATAATATTTTAGACAAAATTTATTTTTAAACACTATGCGCACCTCAGGGTTCAATTAATCTTGCATTATGTGTAGAAACTTTTATCACCATAGTAGGCCTAACATCCACGATAAAAATCATGTTAAATTACAGATGCGATTTTTCACACGGGTTTTAGATCTATTGGTTTCCATGGTTTTTCTAGCTTTAGACGTTCGACTTCTAACTGTATGTCACCGTTTTTTGTTTCCACTAAATATCGAGACATCTCACTAAAACTTGGATAGTCTGACTAAAGGTTATGATTATTTCGGCAGGTACCTCATATCGAAATGGTCAGCCTTGAAAACAAGTTAATGGATCCTCACCATCGATACTTCGATAACAGGATAATAAATAGTGAGATCTATGAAGTCTCTAAAGAGTTAAAGATAAATATGGTATCATACATTAGAAGCCGTAAGAGACTTTATTTAAAGGGAATTCCCACAAAAACCTACCTTTTAAAGGAGAATGAAACACAAGAGAGTGATCTGGCAGGGCGTAAATAAAAGGAGAATTAAACACAGAGAGTAATCTGGCAGAGCGTAAATAAAAGGAGAATGAAACACAAGAAAGTGATCTGGCAGGGCGTAATGAAAAGGAGAATGAAACACAAGAGTGTGATCTGGCAGAGCGTAAGGAAAAGGAGAATGAAATACAAGAAAGTGATCTGGCAGGGCGTGAAGAAAAGGAGAATGAAACACAAGAGACTGATCTGGCAGAGCGTAAAGAAAAGAAGAATGAAATACAAGAAAGTGATCTGGCAGGGCGTGAAGATAAGGAGAATGAAACACAAGAGAGTGATCTGGCAGGGCGTACAAAAAAGGAGAATGAAACACAAGAGAGTGACCTGTCAGGGCGTAAAAAAAGGAGAATGAAACACAAGAGAGTGATCTGGCAGGGCGTAAAAAAGGAGAATGAAACTCAAGAGAGTGATCTGGCAGGGCGTGAAGAAAAGGAGAATGAAACACAAGAGAGTGATCTAGCAAGGCGTAAAAAAGGAGAATGAAACACAAGAGAGTGATCTGTCAGGGCGTAAAGACAGTTTTTATACAGTTCTTTTCGAGTAAACTTTGAAACTTTCTTGTTTATCCGTATTTATAACTGGCTCTTTCTGTCGGAAATGGCGATACCCATTTCTTCATCAGTAACCTGAGAGTTTAGTTTCATATGAGTGGAGAAAACTACCAGCTCCAGATGAATATTCAACCTTCTTATTGGTTATTTCTTTTTTCAATATCAGAACTATCAGTTATAGCTGAAAATTTCTTGGTAGTCTATAAAAAAAAACAAAGTACGGTATATTTTTATCATTCTGAATTTAATTAGATCGTAGGTGTCCATTAAAATTCATTCAGTTAATAACCGTACGCCATTTGATGCAACGTGTTAATAACTATATAAAATCTGACATAACGTGTTGATAACTCTATAAGATGAGATAACATGTTAGTAATTATATAAAATGTGACATAACGTGTTAATAATTATATAAAATCTTATATAACGTCTTAGTAACCATATAAAATCTGCCATAACGTGTTAATAACTATGTAAAATCTGACATAACATCTTAATAACTTTATGAGGTCTGACATAACGTGTTAATAACTCTATAAAATCTGACAGAAATTGTTAATAACTATATAAGATTTAACATAACATATTAATAACTATATAAAATCTTATATAACGTGTTAATAACTCTAGGAGACCTGAATTAACATGTTAATATTTACATGGTCTTAAGTAGTGTGTTTCTCGAAAAGTCAACAACATGGAAAACGTTTTCTTTATTAATATGATTTGTATGTCGTATCCCTAATCAGCTAGTATATAATCACTTTTTATTTTCTCATATTCGTGATGACGTTTTCTACAACGGACAAGATCTAATGTTAAAATAATTACTGAATATTTTGTACCTTGTTTGTTGCATAACTCTAGATTAAACTTGAAGTTTATTTGAATTATTTATAGAAAAGCTTAAAAACGCATGAAAAAACGTTCCTACAAAGTGATGGAAATATCAAAGTGACCTACCGTAGACACTTTAATAGTAAACCACTATAAAAAAAGGAAAACAAACCTTAAAATTCATATCACTTAGGTATCAGTGTGTATTATAGTACTCTGTGTGTGTGTGTGTATATATATGTGTGTGTGTGTGTGTGTATAGATAGATAGATAAGAGATAGGCGTGGATTCTGTATGTAAATACACACGAATTAGATAAATATTTCTCTCTGGGAAGATTAGTCTTCAGATTCGTCCCGAAACGGTACTCAAAATGCAACAACTTCTGCTATAATACACCCCTCCCCTATCGGCCCTGCTCCCCATCAGAATCTGTTTACCAATATAAAGAGACCTTTTTAAAATGTATGAGCATTTGGTGGAATTGCAAGTGGATCAGACCTCGGTTCTTAACTTGGTATTCAGAAGCCACACAAAGATTCGAGTTGTAAATGAGACCAGGGCTGGAGTCTAGCTTTATGATGACGTCCAAGATTTCCCTCCTGTCAGTGTTGTGAACATTAACTAGCCTCTGCTGCTTTAATTCATTCACTTAGCTGGCTCCTTCCACGCCTTCGCTGCTGCTCCATATAAACTTGATAATTATCTGCCAGGAATAACCCTATTGCAATGCAGATGAACCGATACTTGCATATAATTACAAACGAATACAAGAAACGCCGTGCGCCGCTTTTCACCACCACTGCCCGGTTAGCTGCCGAGTGTGCTAGAGCCAGTAAGGCGCGTGAGGACCGCGCCTTCGTACGACTTTTCTTCGGGCAGGTTGCCGGAAGTTCTTTAAGTCAGTTGCGACAAAGCTTCGCGGACAACGACGTTGCCGGTACTGATGGGCAGCTACAGCCTAATAATGTCTGTTAGTTTGCGAATCATCGTCAACTTAAGTCCGTATTTACGATAATTAATCGTTCAATTGCATTTAACAAGTCCACCAAGGAGGCCTGTAGTTTGTGTTGCTTGTGATACCACGTCATCATAATGTGACGAAATATTATTAAAGTTGCCAGAAGAAAAAAGCCAAAGTAAAAAACAAAAACTCTTCAGAAACGAAGAGAGGTGAACTCTCTACTATCAACTACTTATCTTCAAGAAAATGGACGCAAGTTTTCTCGAAGAAGAAGAATCCATCATTGTGTGGGAATTTAAAAAGAAAAGACGCACAATTATACTTAAATATGATCTTCAAAAGTTTTATGTCAAAGAAAAAGTTCTTATCGCAGTTAACATTATTTGCACCAGTGGAATAGATCCATATTGTCCAGTTGATCGCAGTTAACATTATTTGCACAAGTGGAATAGATCCATATTGTCCAGTTTATCGCAGTTAATATTATTTGCACCAGTGGAATAGATCCATATTGTCCAGTTGATCGCATTTAATATTATTTGCACCAGTGGAATAGATCCATATTGTCCAGTTGATCGCAGTTAATATTATTTGCACCAGTGGAATAGATCCATATTGTCCAGTTGATCGCAGCTAATATTATTTGCACAAGTGGAATAGATCCACATTGTCCAGTTGAGAATAGGGCGATGATAAAGTATTGTTTCTAACTGGAAGATTGCAAAAAGAAAATATTCTATTGGGTTCGACTCGAACATCCATTCGTGTTTCAATATAGTATTTTATCATGGTTAGAAACAATGTGATTTAAAGCTATCAACTTTTTATATAATAATTAAATAACAGCCGCAAAGGATGAGCGTTGATAATGCTCAACCGATACAGAAAAATCCGCGAAAATCTCAACCAAATCGGAACAGCTTACGAAATGCACAATCGAAATGGAACAAAGAACAACGTGTGAAATGCACAACGAATACATAAGAGTCTAGAATCCTGTATCTATGAATCAAACAAGCATTTAGCTTAACGAAGTTAGTTAGAGTAACCTTCGCATGATAAGGCACAACATGAAGAAAGAATGATAGAGAAACACGATGAGAGATTATTTTAGTATGTTGTCAGGAAAAGTCGCATAATATTCGAGAAAAAGTAACGTGCGTTTCAAGATTCCACCAAGATCGATAAATAGAAAAAAAGAGAGAGACAAGTTTAAGAAAAATGACAACAACGGGTAAATTCAAAAATCAAGGCGTACGTAGCAAGAAAGGAAGAGATCAGGTGGAAAGTAAAAACAACAGGAACCCTCATAAAGTAAACATTAGATCGGC